AAAATACAAAGTAGAGTATCTTTAATGATGCAAACGAAGCAAAGCTTTTGGGACCTTCATTTGCTAATGTGGCATAATTCAAAATGGGGAGAAATAGCTACAAACATTCATTAATAATTAGAATGTGGAATGTATAAAGCATGGATTTAGGAAAATTCAAGTCCATGAAAAATGAAATGGAAAGTATAAAGATCAATATCTTAAGCATTAGTGAGATGAAATGGACTCATATTGGTCAGTGGCTAGTCATATGATTTACTATTCCAGGAATGAAAAATTGAAGAGGAATGGTGTTGCAATCATTGTCAAAACGAGAATTTCAAGATTTATGTTGAAGTACAATGCTGTCTGGTAGCGTAGTGGTTACGAATCGGGCTGCAAACCTTAAGGTCAGTGGTTCAAAACTACCAGCCGCTCCGCGGGAGAAAGATGAGGCTTTCTACTCCCGTAAAGATTTACACCCTCGGAAACCCTGTACAGGGTCGCTATGGGTCGGAACCGACTCGACGGCACTCAACAACAACAACAACAACAATGCTGTCTAGGAGCTCTGGTAACGTAGTGGTTATGAATCGGGCTGCAAAATCAGGGTCAGCAGTTTGAAACTACCAGCTGTTCTGTGAGAGAAAGATGAGGCTTTCAGCTCCCGTAAAGATTTACAGACTCGGAAACCCTGTACAGGGTCGCTATGAATCGGAACCTACTCCACGGCATATAACAACAACAAACAATGCTGTCTGTGATAGGATAATATACATATGTCTACAAGAAAGGCCAGAGTCCATATGTGGCATTGTAGGATAAACACTGGACCACAGATCAGTTTGAACTACAAGGTAGTGGTTCACACCCACCAACTGCTACTTGGAACCAACTCTATGTTGGAACTGACTTGCTGACATCTAACAATAACAACAAGAAAGACCAGTTTTACAAATGTATTTACAAATGTAAATACCAACCACTGAAGTCAATGATGATAAAATTGTAGAATTTTACCAATTTCTTTAATCTGAAATTAAACAAGCATGCCATCAAGATGCAGTGCTAATTGTTAGTGAATAGAATGTCAAAGTAGGAAATGAAGAGGAAGGACTGGTAGTTGGAAAACATAGCTTTGTTGATACAAATGATACTGGAGACAGCATGATAGAATTTTGCAAGACCAATGACTTATTTATGGCAAATACCATTTTTCAACAACATAGGCAGTGATTATACACATGGAACTTCACCAGATAGAATACAAAGGAATCAAATTAACTACATCTGTGAGAAGACAGAATGAAGACAGTCAATATCACCAACCAAAACAAGAGCAGGAGCCAACTGTGGAACACAGTATCAATTGCTCATATGCAAGTTCAGACGGAAGCTGATGAAAAAATTAAAACAAGTACACAAGAGCCAAAATATGACTTTGAATATATCCATCTGAATTTAAAGACAATCTCAAGAACAGATTTGATGCATTAGACACTAGTGACAAAGACCAGACGTATTGTGGGATGACATCAAGAACATCATTCATTAAGAAAATAAAAGATCATTAAAAAGACATGATAAAAATGGGTGTCAGAAGAGACTCTGAAACTTGCTCTTGAGCATAGATTAGCTAAAGCAACTGGAAGAAATGAGAAAGTCAAAAAGCTAAATAAAAAATTTCAAAGGGCAGTTAAAGAAGCAAAGTCAAGTATTATAACGAAATGTACAAAGACCTGGATTTAGAAAACCAAAATTGAACAATTCTCATAGCATTTCTCAAGCTGAAAGAACAAAAGAAAAAAATTCAAGCCTTGAGTTACAATATTGAAAAATTCAAAGGGCAAAATATTGAGTAACACAGAGCATCAAAAGAAGATAGAAGGAAGACACAGAGTCACTGCTCCAAAAAGAATTGGTCAATGTTCAGCCATTTCAAGAGCTGGGATATGATCAAGAAACTAGGGTGCTGAAGGAAGAAGTCCAAGAAGGCACTGATGAAAAATAAATCTCCAGAATTTGATGGAGTATGAATTAAAATTTCTATGCCAAGAAATGTGGAAGATAGATACTTTTCCAACTGATTAGAAGAGATTCTCAGATGTGCCAAATCACAATAAAGCTTGCCCAACAGAATGGGGAAATCCTTGAACAATATCACTAATATCATATGAAAGTAAAATTTTACTGAAGATGATTTAAAAATGGTTGCAGCAGAACATCAGCAGGGAGCTGCCAGAAATTCAAGAAGGATTTAGAAGATGTGGAATGAGGGGTATCATTGCTGGCATAAGGTAGATCTTGGCTAAAAGCAGAGAATACCATAAAGATGTCTACCTGTGCTTTATTGACTATGTAAGGCATCCAACTGTGTGGCTCATAACGAAGTGTGGACAACAGTGTGAATAATAGCTATTCCAGAACACTTAATTATACTCATGAGGAACCTGTACATAGATCCAGAGGTAGTTGTTTGAACAGAACAAGGGAATAACGAATGATTTAAAATCAGGAAAGGTTGTGTGTCAGGTTGCATTCTTTCACCATTTTAATCAATCTGTATGCTGAGCAAATAATCCGAGAAACTGGATTTTATGAAGAAGAACATGGCATCAGGACTGGAGGAAGACTCACCCAACCTGCAAAATACAGATGATACAACCTTGCTTTTTGGAAGGGAAGAGAATTTAAAATATTTACTAATGAAGATATGGATTGTATCTCAATATAAAGAAAACAAAAATCTTCACAGCTGGACCAATGAATAGCATCATGATAAATGGAGAAAAGACTGACGTTGTCTAAGACTTAATTTTGCTTAGATCCACACAATTAACACTCATGGAAACAGTAATTAAGAAATCAAATGAAGTATTGCATTAGACAAATCTGCTACACAGATCTCTTTAAAGTGTTAAAGAAAAAAGAGGTCAGTTTGAGGACTAAGGTGTGCCTGACTCCTTAGTGCCTGACCATGGGATTTCCAATCGCATCATATGATTGTGAAACTTGGATAATGGATAAGAAAGACCCAGGCAATGTTTTGTTCTGTTGTACACAGGGTTGCTATGAGTCAGGACTAACTTGATGGCACCTAACAACAACAACAACGCAACTATTAATTTGAGAAGCTAAACGTTTTTATTTTCAACTTTTAAATGAACCTCTAAGAGCTCAGGGAGAAACGTGTGGCTGAATGTGTAAGGATCAAATTAGAAGCATCCAGATGATTTCCTGTAGGGGTCACTCTTACTACCAATTTATGCGTGAAACGAGGTATAATACTATCACACACATATGCACGTTCATTTTTAATGCTTGCGTCATCTAGCTCCTTTACATTACAAAAGAAATAAGATTAATAAGACCTTGCAGGTAAATAGCACCACAATGCCAAGTTCTCTATAAATGGCACATGCAATTCTTTCCACTCATTCTGCTCCTCAGAATTGATTAAAAGATAAACAACTTTTGTGTAATGCACTTATGCCTGCTCTTAATAAAGGAAGCATTAGCTAATGGCCTGACTCTATAAAGTGTTTACATGACATATGCCTTCTTAAAGAGAAAGGAAAGAACATTTATTATGGTGGACAACAAGCTCTTCTCCCTCCATCTCTCCTCCTGTGGACTCCTTGTGCTGTGCCTCAAAATTCACATACAAGACAAACCAGATGTTATAATATGCATCCTATCGTGTCATTTGAGTCTAAGAGGTTTTTTTTTTAAACTTTCTTTTTTTGGTAATTAATGCAGCTCAATCACGATGATCCTACACTTCCAGAACCAGCCAAGTGGCAGTGTGGACACACCTTTGCAAAGCAGCTGTCAGAGCCATGCCAGGTGATGCTTCGAAGGTGTCAGCCCTTTCTATAAAGCAGGAGTCTTTCCCATCATCGAATGCAAAATAGCCAGCTGTTTTCCTTCCTCCCCACCCGCCAGCCCCTCATGTCCTGTGGGGTTAGAAGGATATTTACCCTCAGCTCAGGTCTGTTTCGTATTTAACTGAACCCTGTGGCGGTTGTTCTGTAAGTGCAGAGCCAGCAGGCTCAGGCCTCTACCCACCTTCCAGGCAGACTGCTGAGTAGAATCAAGGGCTTTGGCCAAGGCAGAGTGGGGCTCAGGTGTCTGAGAAACGGAAAGAGTACGTCTAGGAAACTGGGAGGTGTGGCGGTGAGGCTTAACCCCATCTTCAGATCTTCTCGACCTCACCCATAGCTCATTGTGCCCTGTGGCGGGCTCTTGGCTCCACCACCACTCTTGCAGTTAGCCGCCACACCTCCACCGAGACTGAGGAGTTGGTGAAACTCAGTCACCTGTCGGAAGCCGGATTTGGGCAGGGAGAAGGGCCTGACGGCCAGACTGCGCAGGTAACAACAGCCTTCGCAGGTGGCCCTCCCTGTCCGGGGCGCAGTAGCCTGGAAGGAGGTGCTGGGTTTGCAACTGGAGACCCGAACCCCCGGTCCCCAGCTTCGCGCCCACGTCCCCGCCCCCAGCACTCTGCTCGCCCCACTTCGCTCCAGACGCCATTGGCTTGCGGTGGCCTGAGGGCCAACTCGCGTAGTCGCCAAAGCTGCAGGTTCGAGACGCCCCGCCTCCTCCTGCACTTGGAGCTACAGCTTCAGTAGGAACCTTCCCGCTCGGTCTTATGGTCTTATTCTGCGGTACTGCTGAGGTTTCGGAACTTCGCAGGCAAGGAAAGTCTAGTTAGGTTCTTTGCTTCCAACCAACGCCGTACCTGCCCAGAAGGTCCCGCTCTGTCAGCACTTACGCCCCCAAATTTTTCGCGTGGTCTGCACCTCCGATAGAGTTCCGGCTACTTTGCGAAGGGGCGCTCCAATCTTCCGGAGGCCGCAGCACTCCCAACGCTAGGCTCGACCTCTTCCTCCTCCGAGCGAGTGGAGGGCGAGTTGTGAGCCCGGATCCCGAGCGCACTTGAGCGTCTCCAACACTTGGGCTTTGTCCCCGCCACCTAGCCGGCCCTTGGGGGGTCGGGCCTCTTATTCCGAAACTCCAAACCCCGTTCCAGTCGCTAATCAGTCCGGCAAGGGGTCGGACACAGGACCCAAGCGCTCCCGACCGAGTCGCCCCGTGGGGTGCTGCGCGCACCATGGCGGGCTGTTGTTGCCTGTCGGCGGAGGAGAAGGAGTCACAGCGCATCAGCGCGGAGATCGAAAGACAGCTTCGCCGGGACAAGAAGGACGCGCGCCGGGAGCTCAAGCTGCTACTGCTAGGTGAGTGAGTGTGAATAAGTGCGTCGGCGTTCCCTTTCCAGCCCTTCCTTCGTAGAGACCCCACCGCGCCGCCTGGGACAGAGCGGGTGCAGAGCCGCTGCACTTCCTTGCCTGGAAGTTGCCGGTGTCCGTAACTTGCGGGCTCTAACACTTATCTTTTTCCTTTCAGGGGATCTAGTTTCGAAGGCACCCCCTTCCATACCCAAAATGGGACTGGGACGTAACATGTAAACTCTTGTCTGCTATCCCTTATCTGTTACGATTTGCCTCTTTTCCCTAAAGCTGCATCCCTCTCCGTTACCCCCAGCCCCAGCCCTAAACACACACAATTTATACTGAACACCAACCTCGATTTTGGAAGTTCAGTTCCAGTTCAGGACCTTTTTCGGTCCTTAATTAAGTCATGTTGGTTGGGTGTCACTCTGTACCGAACTTTGCTAACGTCTTAGGGGCTTCATGTTGTGATGCCATAGGTTTTTGTTGCTGTTGCTAGGTGCCTTGGAGTCCATTTCAACACTTATTGACCCCAGTGTGACGGAGTAGAACTGCTCCAAAGGGGTTTTCTTAGCTGTAATCATTGCGGGAGCAATTTGCCATCTCTTTTTCCCACGGAACCACTGGATGGGTTTGAACAGCTTATGAGCCAAGTGCTTAATTGAACTGCTAGGGTTCCTTGAAGCTGTAGGCCAGGGATGGGGAACTTTTTTTTTTTTTTCCTGCCAAAATTTATAACATCATTCGCGGACCATACAAAATCATCAGCTTAGAAATTAGCTTGCTATATTTGGTCAAACATTCAATTGTTGTTGTTAAGTGCCGTCGAGTAGGTTCCACTCATAGTGATCTTGTATAGCGTTTCCAAGGAGCGACTGGTGGGCTTGAGCCGCCCATCTTGTGGTTCAAACCCACCGTGCCGTCAGCGCATTAACCCACAGCACCACTCACCCCTAATATGATGACTGGAATTGGGGTTGCCTTGGCATGGTCAGACCAAATGATTTCTTGTGCATTGGACCACAAGGTCAGTTTGAACTGCAATGTCGATTGTTCAAACCCATCACCCACTCCTTGGAAATCATAGACAGGGTAATTATGAGTCAAAACTGACTGGATGACACTTAACAACAACAACAATGACTGTGAGTCTTTTTGGAAACAGAAAGCCTGAGGTAACAGTGTTCTGCATGGTGGGCTTGAACTGCTGATCTTGTCATTAGTGCTAAACCTACAGAGCTACTGCACTCCCCTGGTGATCTAGGTTGTTGTTGTTAAGTGCCATCAAGTCTGTTCCAACTCATAGTGTCCCTGTGTAGGGTTTCCAAGGAGCAGTTGGTGGGTTTGAACTGTTGACCTTGTGGTTTGCAGTCCAGTGTTGATCCACAGTGCCACACCAGAAGTAGTCCTGCTATTTTACAGAGTAGAAAATGGAGGCAAGAAATAGATGGATTTGATGATTAAGAAAAGGCAAAGGAGATACCAGTCCAGTCGTGGGGATGAAGCCCAGGAAGGTAAGCTTTCTCAACCTACCTCTGGGGCTCCCTCCTTTAGTGAGGCCCTCTGTTTGCAGCTGACCCAAACCTCCTTTGCCTGTCTTGACTCCATATTTACTCCCAGAGTGCTCCTTGGAGGCCAAAATGGCCAAACTTTGTCTCTCATACTTTGGACATATTATCAGGAGGGACAAGTCGCTGGAGAAGGATATCATGTTTGGTAAGGTGGAGGGTCAGAGAAAAAGAGGAATCCCCAATAAGATGGATTGGTCAAGTGGCAGCATCGATGGACTCAAGCATGGCAACAGTAGTGAGGTTGGCCCAGAATCGGGCAGTATTTTGCTCTGCTGTGCATAAGGTCACTATGAGTCAGTACCGACTAGATGGCACCTAACAACAACAACAACAACAACAGGGGTCAAACTTTATGTCCCAACTGTCTCTACTAGTTCTAAGCAGAATTTTCTGGTCTCTGCAAATGTCTAGATAAGGCACTCACTTTCAAAATAGAAGCGTTTGCCCAGTTTATGCCGTACAGCAAGGATCCTACGTCCTCTACTCTTGACTGCTCTTCAGTGCCAACAATTTGAAGGATATTTATCTTTTTCTTAAGAACCGGAAATCAGGATGTCAGCTATCAAAATCTTTCTACATTGCCTGAAGTATTTCCAATGTTTTCTCGTCCCTTCCAGACACAAATCCTTACACTGCCTGCCTGTTTATTTGCCTTCAAAGTAAGGATTAATCCTCAACTAAAACCTGGAGAAAAAATGGATCTAGTTAGTATAAAAGAGAGAAAGATTTTAGTCAATACAACCTTCAGGCCTGGTATGGCATTATAGGATAAACACTGAACTGCTAACCGAAAGGTTGGTGGTTCAAACCCACCAGCCACTACTTGGAAAGCCAATATCAGGTTGCTGTAAGTTGGAACTGACTTGATGGCACTTAACAACAACCTTCAGATGTGAACTGCCCTGTACTTTTGCTTGCATTTAGAGGGCCTGCATATGGCCCTTTCTTGCCTATGCCCTTCCTACCAGGGATAACAGTTGGCAGGCCCTAGGGGAATGCCAGAGCTCAATCACTGTATGATACTCACTGGACTGTGAACCATAGGGTCAGCGGTTGGCGCCTCCCAGCTGCTCCCTAAGAGAAAGATGCAACTCCCTGATCTTACAAAGATATACAGCTTCAAAACCCCATACTGGGTCACTATAAGTTGGAACTAGCTTGACAGCACTTAACAACAGCAATTTTTAAGGAAACTGCCTCATTTCTACCCTGGATTGGCTGGTTCATTTGAACCACTGCACCTTTCATTTAGCAGTCCAGCACTTTATCCACCACACCACCAGGAGCCCAGGATTTTAGTTTGCTGGTTTTATTAATTCTTTGCAGTAATTATGCAAGTCCTCATTCACACTTCTTTAAGTCAAGCGCTTAAGGAACTATTTGTACTATTCAGGAACTCAAAAGTAGGAGAGGGATATTCATAGATAAGTTGTTTGAGTGCCTCCTTCATCTCTCATAGGTGGTTACCCCCAATGATCTTTCTGTCCCCTTGAACCACTTCCTAGTGCCAGACAAAATACAAACCCCTTCCTTTCAAGTTGATTTTGATTCATGAAAGCCTCATGTATTACAGAGTAGAACTGCTCTGTTGAGCTGGCTTGGCTATAATCAGTAAAGAAGCAGCTCTCTAGGCCTTTGGATTTGAACCATCAGCTGTTAGATTAGCAGCTGAGTGCAAACTGTTTTCGAAGTCCAGGAACCATCTGACCCCAGGGTCTTCATTTTGTTTGTGTTCAGCTCTGACTAGCTCTTTCTGATAACTTTCCTGTTTAGGGACAATTTCCAAACCATATGAGCTATCCAGAACCCCAGGGGTAGACTTAAAAACCTCTGATTTCTGCAGATAGTAATAGCCTTTGACCTAGCTTTGATGATTATAACTCCAATAGGGGAAGATAAAGAAATTTAATAAAGGAAAAAGTGTAAATTGATACAATTTTATGAACTTGACTTATACTTATGAATGCAGTAGCTCAAAATACCAAGAGAGAGGGAAGGAGTCTTCACATCAAGGATCAAACTCTGTACACAGGGTTGATAGGGATAGGCAACTTAGACATTGGCTACATAAAATGGGGGGGGGGGGAGGCTATAAAGGCACGAAGTGACTGGCTTACAAGTTTTCAAGAGGGAGTTTAGTTTCAGAGTGTGGGGGGCAAGGTAGAATCCCTACTGAATCATTTTCAACTTGTTTAGATGGGTCTGGTGAAAGGGGATAGGGATAAGAGTCTTATGATTCAAGAGTGAGTAATTGTTGTCATGACTAATTGTGATTGTCACAACTGTAAAGGTAGAAATTTTGTAACATAAAGGAGGGAGTAGTTAATCTTACATTCCTGGAACAGAAGACCCTAGGACCATCAATGTAGAAGAACATGAGTGGCATGTGCGACCCTATCCAGAGAAGCAGCAACATCAGAGATGGAGGCAGAGATGATGACATGGAGTGATAGAGCAGCTGAGGACTCATGCAAAGAGAAAGCCTGTGTGCTTGCGGCCAGGAGGCTTGCAGAGTGTGCCCTTTGGTTGTTTAAATGATTATATATTCCTGAGTGTTTTTGTGCATATCAAAGAAAAAAAAACCAACAAAAATAAAAAACCAGAGGGAATAGAAGCAAATACTGTTGAATGTGATGCATGGAGGGGATTGTAATCATTGCAATGAAATGAAATACAATAAGAAGAGTGCAAACTGATGTTCTCCCATGTAAGCTATCATTCAATTCACAATAAGAGCTTAAAAAAAAAAAAAAAAAAGACAAAACAAAAAACAAACCCTCTGGTTTCTCTTAATCTTTAAGGGATTGGGGCAGACTTCCATTTCTTCTTCTCAAGATAAAGGAAAAGGCAGTGACTCAGATAGAAGCAACAGGCATTAGAGAAGTATATATATTGTTTTCTCTGAAGTCATGGAATTTGAGTGAATATGAGTAGATTACATGACCCAGATGAAAATTCCATTTGGTAAATGGAAGTCTCTGGCTTAGTGGCACCATGAAAGACAGGTGTGGCAATCTGCTTCCATAAAGATTACAGCCAAGAAAACCCTATGAAGCAGTTCTACTCTGAAACGTTTTAACACATGGGTTGTTATGAATCAGAATCCACAGCAATGGGATTATTTGTTGGCTTGTTTGTTTTTTGGTAGGGCTCATGGAATGACCTGAAAAGCCACCAAGTTTATTACAATTAATAATCCTTTTGCAACAAAAACGTTGGAGGATGCTTCCAAAGTTCATTCAGTGTAGCTGTTTGTGCTTAATAAAAAGCATTGGTATGAAATCTGTCTGGGTGAGGCTGATGAAAGGAGTTGTGGATAGGTCTCTTGTGATACAACAGTAAATAATTGTTATCAGAACTCACTATGTGGGTTGGAAATGTAAAGGTAAACATTTTGTTGCAAAAGGAGGGGAGTGATTGACTTTGCAGTCTAGG